TCAGCGCTGTCAGAAAGAAGTGCATTTTGTGCTCTGGTTTAATATTGACGCAACAGTTAGTGCGTGTATGTTATTTTCTAATGCAAGATGGAGAAAAAAAATCAGTGAAATCTATATGACTGTGGGATAGAATTTCATGTAGATGTGAAGTGTCTAGGGGGGGAAGGAAGTTATAGAAAGGTATGTATGATTTCTATAATTTGTCTCAACATACAAAATGTAATTGTGTGTGGTTGTAATTTAATGATCAGACACTTTTCTTGGTAATTTACTAGCAAGTCCATTATCTTAATGTAGGGAAATTTGAAATATTGTATAAAAATATGTAATAAAACTGAAGGCAGGGTGATTAAAAATTCATTAAAAAAAACGTAATACATGTAATAAGGTTTAACATATAATCGTCATTTGTTATTCACATATTAAGCCCCTTTGGCAAACATGATTCTAACATGATTAAGTATTTAAAAATTATTTAATCTGTATTAGAGAAAATGTCTTGCTTAGGAGAGGTTAGAGGAACACCCAAAAGAGAAGAGAAAAATGAATTATCTCCTTAAGAAAATATCAAAATATAACCATCAAAATGTTGGTGGTACATTAAGTAATCTAGTCTTTAATATTTCTGTTAATATGTGGTTAGTTTGGCTGGTGAAGCTACTCGTTGTCACTAACATGACCTGTTAGAACCATATATAATTCAATATATTTATCTATTTTGTTAGTGTTATGTCTGTCTGTTTGTCTGTCAGTCTGCTTTTCTGTCTATTTGTCTGTGTATCTGTCAGTCAGTTTGGTAATCTCTCAGCACATCTGTCAATCAATCTGTCTGTCTGTCAGTCAGTCAGACTGTCTGTCTGGCTCTATCTCTGTCTTGTATGTCTTGTCAGTCTTTTCAGCTTTATTTGTCTTGTCAGTCTGTGCATATATATATATATATATATATATATATATATATATATATATATATATATATATATATATATATATATATATATATATATATATATATATATATATATATATATATATATATATATATATATATATATATATATATATATATATATATATATATATATATATATATATACATATATAAATATACATATATAAATATACATATATAAATATACATATATAAATATACATATATAAATATACATATATATATATATATATATATATATATATATATATATATATATATATATATATATATATATATATATATATATAGAGAGAGAGAGAGAGAGAGAGAGAGAGAGAGAGAGAGAGAGATAGATAGATAGATAGATAGATAGATAGATAGATAGATAGATATATGTATATGTATATGTATATGTATATATATATATATATATATATATATATATATATATATATATATATATATATATATATATATATATGTATAAGTATATATATGTATATATATAGATAGATAGATAGATAGATAGATAGATAGATAGATATATGTATATATATATGTATATATACATGTATAAGTATATATATGTATATATATGTATATATATGTATATATATGTGTGTATATATATATATATATATATATATATATATATATATATATATATATATATATATATATATATATATATATATATATATATATATATACTGTATTTGAATTTAGATCAATAGTTTGATAGAATAATGAATGGATTGATAGATAGATTTATATATAGATATAGAAATATACATGGGTACACACGTATATCTATGTACATAGATATATATTTATAGTTTTACAATCAAAAAGTGATTTTTCAGAATTACAGTCATGTAACCCGTGAATGCCAGAGTGAAGTCAAACCACTGAGTAATTTGCCAAGATGGAAACCACTGATGTGAGAAAGAATTTTATCTTGACAACAACAGGTAAGGTTCTGTAGAATTCATTAGAGTATTAATCAATATATATACAGTGTTTCCCATTTTTTCTAGAAATAAAGGTTAATATCATGTCATTGTAATAGCTTTTGTATACACATTTTTATGAATTTTTCAGGAAATTACTTCAGTGTCCCATTGTCTGAGCCCTCTTTAAATGGCTTGGTCGAGGACCCTAGTCTCAATAACTTCCTCGATTCGGGAAGTTGTCAGCTCCTTGGGGCTCAGCTGATGCCAGATGAAGGACGTATCATTTTTAATACCAAGGCAAGTTCCATTTTGTAATGTGATAAGTGACAGTGTAAGTAATTTAAATATATTAATTTTGATGTAAAATTTTGTATTGAAAATGTGTTTTTTCATTACAGGTTGATTCTCCTTCCACAAAAGATAAATTACTGGTGTTCTTCAAAATAAAACCTGATGTCATTACAGCAGACAATTTGGCAGATGTATTTGTCTCATCTATGATTGACTCACCAATATCTTCACTTTATCATTCTCTTCAGACCCTCTATGCTCCAATATTACTAAAGGTATGCATATCTGTTTTGTGTGTAAATGTCCTATTTTAGATGAAAATTGACATTGAAATTAGTATATTCTATAACTGGAAAGCAACAAGGATCTGTGTTGTATTGTACATAAACACAATATAAAGCCAAAGATTCAGATGATGACGTTGTTATTAAAAGCCGACTGTGAATCTTTGCATTAATATTTTCTGTTATTACAACTAGGATTCAGAATGGAGTGGGACTTTGGACCCCAGGCTGCAGTCCCTAGTGACGGAACTCTCGGAAGGACTTGGGAGCATGTTACGCAAACAGTCTTCGGAAGGTGCTTCAGATAAGGGGGCCTCTTCATCACATTTAGCAGGTAGGAGAAAAGGGTCCATGGATTATTTGTTGAAATACTATTCATTAAGTTATGTTGATAATGTAAAAACTTTGGTACCTTGGTCTACTATGGAGGAATTGATTATCAAACCCATGATCATGTAATTTTTAAAGGCACATAGGGCAGATATCTAAATGTTTTTCCCTAAAAGTATATTTGATTTGACAAAGTTTTATTTTTTAATTGTATTTTATGTGAAATGGGAAGGTTTTCCTTAGAGTAACATAAATCTTAAAACCAACAGGAATTCTGAATGTTAAGGACGAAACCCAATACTGGGCTGACGTTGCAAACAACCCTAAGAATCGAGATGAAAAGGAAATGGCTCAGGGCTTTTACAACTGTCTTGATCCTATTGCAAAAGAATTCAGGTTTGTATTATTCATGCTTAAAGTCTATACAAAAAGCATTTATTTTTTGTATTTTATCTATTATCTTACCTTTTGGATTTTTAGATTTGTTAGATGTATCAATAACTGACTTTAGTATATAGGATGGTTGATGTATGAATTAATAAATAGATTTGTGAATAAAGTAAAGGAAAGAAATATGAAAAGTGAAGGAAATGGAAATATCATGCATCCTCCACATGAAAGCTCAAAACCTCTCTTGCATCTTAGGAATTAGCATGATGAAACTAAGGATTTTTAATCTAGACCATTAGAAGGATTTATGAATTTATAGATAAGATGTGAATTCTGAAAAGATAGCTGTGGGCTAATATGAATTATAAGTTACTTCACTATAAGATTTACTGAGTTTATTTTTTTTTTCCATATTTAAAATTTGGAATATACAGATAGATACTGAAATATAGAGATAAAGATAATTTGCACTTTCACTCTGTGAACTAGGTATGTAATCTCTTTATATCCTTTTGCTGATATACATCAGGGACATTCACATGGTATTTGAAGAAATATCCTACCTTTTGAAAAAAAAAATAAAACCAATTGTAAATACGAGCTATTATCATCTGGAATTATATATCCAGTGTACTAAAATTAAGGCTGCAATTACTGGGATAGTGAAATAAATGTTGAACTTTTTTAGATTTTTTTAAAATTTCCTCCCATTCAAAATTCAAAATTCAAAATTCACTAATGTTTAAAATATTAGTTATGTCTATATAATTCACTGAATGTTTTATGAAGGCAATTAAAATGTGGGGCTCCTCTTTCCAGTGGGTTGGATGCTGTGTCTCTCCTAGATGCAGAAGATATTTTGGAAAATACCCATAACTTGTTGGATGAGTTGTGGAGGCTGGACTATCCGCAGTCTCGTATGGAGCACCTTTTGGATATCATAGCGAATCAGATTACGCGTTATGTCCAGGTTAGGAGACATTAATTATTTTTGGATATTTACTGTGTTTGTAAGTTGACTTTCAATCAGCAATGGTTTTAAAGTGTTTATAACTTTTATTGTTATTTGGATACTCCTTAATGTCAATGTATATTTTTAGGGAAAATTAAGTGAAGAAGATCTGTGGGGTGGACAGTTCACACAGATTGAGAAGAACCTGTCTGAAGGCATTACTCTGTGTGATCGATGGGTGGACAGCTGCAGCAAACTTACTGGCATATTTTGGAAGAGTGGTGTGGACCAGATGTGGGAAAATGATGCATTTGTTCCAGAATACTGCAAGAATGTTTCAAAACGCCTGAATGAGATTCTGAGTCTCCGGACTCTGCACAAACAATTGACCAGACTTTTGTCCATTAGTGAACAGGAGGAACTGAAAACAGCTGATTCATTCAAGCCATTTGCTGGGCTGAAACCTGTTCAGTATAACCCTTACACAGAACCCTTATGGCAAGCAGCAGTACGCCAGTTTGAGAATTCCCTCAAGCCAGCTGAGCAGAGGATTGCTGGTAAATTGAGAGCTCAGCTTAGAAACATGAACTCAAGTGCCTATCAACTAATGCAAGAATTCAAGAGGTACAAAGAGTTGATCAAGCGTGAAAGCATACAGCAGGAACTTCTTTCTGAGAGAGAAATGTTGCTCAGTGAACTCAGCAGTTACATCCGCACAATTAGTTCTGATTTCAGTAGCACGGCTGTCAATGGACCAAGACGTTTAGCAAATGTGCCTGAGGTTGTTAGCAACATTTATTGGGTCAAACCTATTCATGCAAAAGTGGTGGACATTGGTAAGTGTATGATTTTCTTTTATGTTTCGTATG